AAAAAAAAAAACATTTCTAGTTTATGTTCTTTGGATATTAAACATGCTTTAAGGGATATTTTTGTCCTCAGCTTCAAAATTGACCCAGTCATAACAATTCAGTGGGCATTAGTGGGAAAGTTCTGCCAGGGCATAGCATTTCATCTCATGAGCAATAGACCTTTCTCAGTACTCTGCCTTTTTGTGTGTGTGTGTGTGTGTAAGACAGAGTTTCACTATGTCACCCTTGGTAGACTGCTGTGGCATCAAGCAACCTCTAACTCTTGGGCTTACGTGATTCTCTTGCCTCAGCCTCCCAAGCAGTTGGGACTATAGGCAGCTGCTCTACGCCCAGCTATTTTTTTGTTGCAGCTGTTTAGCTGGCTCAAGATGGGTTCAAACCCACCAGCTTCAGTGTATGTGGCTGGCACCGTAACCACTCTGCTACAGGCACTGAGCCAATACTCTGCCTTTTAATTAGGGGCAGAATATGAGGTTGTTGAGTTAATAATTTGAGTTAGAATTAGTCTAAGGTTTTTTAGCTTAATATTCTAATACCTTTGTAATATTGTTAGTAAATTCTAAATTTGCTGTGCTGTATTTCAGTTAAAAAAAAATTGGACCAAGGGAAAGTTAAAGTTAAATGTAAATTAGAGGTTTCATTCTGTTTGCTTTTAGGCACCCATCGATTATTTTTATTGATGAGCTGGATGCACTTTGCCCTAAAAGAGAAGGGGCTCAGAATGAAGTGGAAAAAAGAGTTGTAGCTTCGCTCTTAACACTGATGGATGGCATTGGTTCAGTAAGTAGAGCACTAGTGTTGATTTTGTGTAGAAAAGGGTTGGTTCAGTTATTTATTTTGAGACAGGGTCTCCATTCTGTTGCCCAGGTTAAAGTGCAGTGGAGTCATCATAGCTTACTGCAACTTTAAACTCCTGGACTCAAGCAATCTTCCTGCCTCAGCTGCCCAAGTAGCAAAAAGTACAGATGAACACCACCATGCTATGCCTAGTTAATTCTTTTTCCTTTCTGTAGAGATGGGGCTTTACTTACGTTGCTTAGTCTAATCTTGAACTCCTGGCCTCAGGCTATTGCCCTGCCTCAGACTTCCAAAGTGTTGGGATTACAGGCAGGAGCTACTGTGTCCAACTAGTTGATTCCTATTAATATATATGTAGAATCAAAAACTATTCTGTGTGTCTCAGTCTTTGGTATTCTAGGAAAAAGGAAAGATATTATCTATATCAACTAAAGAAAAGACCCATAAAATAATTAGCTTCAGTAGATTCTTCAGTATTTAATAACTGCTAGGACAACGTCATAACCTGGCATGTTTGTATAGCATAGAAAGTAATACATCATGATGGATTTCTTTTGTGATAAATGGTATTAACTCAAAAACCTGATGCAAAGATGAGTAAGGAAGATTCAGTGGTTAAATGTTCAGGGATTTCATTAAGAAATTTCATGAGTGAGTCTTACTACTTAGGTAAAAATTATTTCTTTCAAGGCAAGGT